CTCCTCTCCATTTTGAAGTCGGCGCCTGCCGACGCGGATCTGATATTGGTCAATCAAGACCTAGCAGGCTTCTTCACCAGCATCGACCAAGACAGATTTGTCAGATCATGGTTCATGCTTTTGGACTTCCTACGTCCAAAAATGAGCGTCTCCGACAATGAAGCCTTCTCGGTCTATCCGGGAAAATCCAACAACCCAGGAGACATCATCAAAGGACGCACCTTCCGTCGTCTCAATGTCACTCGGAAAATCATCATCAAAGACGTCCCAGACCTGATAAAATCAGCACTGAATATGCAGACTTTCGCGCTGGGCCAGAAGTGCGTCCGTCAATGCCGAGGAAGTCCAATGGGCAGCCCTCTTTCACCTGCCCTATGTCTGATGGTCGTCTCCATCAGTGAACAAATTTGGTCCATTACCTTCAATCAACTTCTCTCCAACCATAATCTATTCATCCGCCACATCCGATGTGTCGACAACCGTCTCATCTTTGGTGACAAACGCCTCACTGCACTTGCACCATATGAAGTCCTTCTTGATGATGGTTTCTACGGCAAACCCATCATTCTCGAAACTGAACCTGACCAGGAATTTCTTGGCTTCATGCTCGAAACCAAACCATTGGAACTGATATATCAGGGACCGACAAATGTGTCCCAAGTCCTCTCACCATTTTCAGCTTCCCCTCCTAAAGTCCTGCTCAGTGGCTTCCGCTCACATTGCCACATTGTCATCAAGGGCGCCTTTCCCGAACCTCGTGTCCAACAAGGTCTCGACCAATTAATTAATTCATTTGTATACTCGTGCTGGGTTTCCCAAGGAGGAACTCCAAGCTATTTCCAACCACATTTTGATTCAGCATCAGAACCTTGAGCCGCCAAAACAAACATGCGCTTTTTGTCTGACTGCTGTTGCCGGTTTCAAACTCTGGTTTGTCTCCTGTCTTTGTCCTTTCCTTCTCTTCTTTCTTCCCCTTTGCTCTTTCTCTCTTCTTCCTTCCCTTTCTTCCTTCTCATGCTGACTAAGGTGATTCATGCAGCTACTTGGCTCAACCTCCGCCCCAACTCGGCTTTCTCCTTTGCTCGTGTGTTTCGCACATCATGGACCATGCTCAAGGCCGCGCATTTCATCACCACTTGGCTCGGGCCATTATGCACCTGAACCACTTGGCTGGTCTTCTTCCGTTCTTCGAACCGTCCATTGAATGGGACGACTCCATACCTTCGTCACATTTCCGCTTGGAACGTCCAAACTCCAGAGGCCTCCACACGTTCGTTCCCTTACCTCCCTCATCCCATCCACCAACCATGGTGTCACATGGAGGAATTCCATCACAGCTGGTCCTCAATCCTGAACCGAACTTACGTCCCACCACACCGCATCACTCACTCCACCGTGAGGCAGAACGCGCTTCAGGCTCCCACAATGAGCCCTGCAATCCAGTTCTTACGACCGAACACTCTGTCGATCCAACGTCAGGAACTTCACTCGCCACGGAACCTCCTCGGACCACGACCAGGACCACAATCCCTGTTCCGGTTCGGTCCAAGCAAAGGGCCTCATCGACAGAGGACCCTCAACCGAAGAAGAAACAAAAATCAGCTTCAGTCCCGGAAGCACGTGTCTCCACCACAGAACGGTTTGGCCGTCCTGGCCCGCTCCCCATCATCTCCGAAGTACCACCTGCAGACTTCAACTCGGATGAATCAGATTATGACGGAGGTGCTTCCACACATGACCATCCAGACACAGATGTCAACTATCGCCTCCCTGCACCATCCCTTACCACATCTACACCACCACCTGGCACCTCCACTCTTACATTGACACTGAATCCACATGCACCTCCACCACCAACCATCCGCATTCTTCAACCAAATCCTGGCGACCCTCCTCGTGATCCACCATTTCGTCCATGGACCAACAATGCCTGAAACAGGACACAAAGTCCCGTCCTTCGTGGAAGACGATCGGAGCTCGACTTCATCGTGATCCACAGGTGTGCAAGCTGAGATGGGGAATCTTAAAACAAACGGACCAACATGGTCGCGTTCACCCGCCTCACGAACCAGAGGCTGAGGATTAAACACTACTGATGTCCCATCCAGGCTGAAAAAGTGTGCGCTCACCGTTTGCTAGTCTTGTTGTTCCTTGTTTGGTCTCCTTTTCCTTTCGTGTTGGTTTCTCTCTTGGGCTTCTTCTTTTTTCTTTTTTCTTTCTTCTTTCTCTTTCGTTTTCTTGGTCTCTTCCTGTCACTGTGTTGCTGTCACAAATGCTCTCCAGCAAATATGGCTCATTCATCTAATCACGTAGGATTTATCCCAGAACGTTCTCGCTCACGGGACGAACCAATGTGGCATCATCGACAACCACAACATCGAAATCAATACCGTGATGCGTGGCATGAGGTACCTCCCGTACCTCGACTCAGGAAAGTCCTGATCATTGTTGACCTTGACGCAGTTCGTCCGCTCATGAATCCATGATGATGTCATGGATTCAACCACATGCGATGTGCTGCCTTCTCTTAGCAGGAATGAAGAACTGGCTCTGTTCACCTACAATGTTTTGGTTGATACACATCAACTTGAATCACTCACGGTGTACAACCTGTTGTACAACATCAGCCAGCACATTTGGTACACGTGGGATCGCTACCTGTCCCCTTCTTCGATGGATCTCCGTTGGCAAGATGAAACTGGAGACACCTTCGCCCTTCGCAATGAAGACCGCCTGGTTGAACTTCTTCATGAATACCGTCCTCATTGGACTGAGGGCCAAGAATTTGGCATCTTATTTCCAAGTAACATTCGATATTTCACGTCTCACCATCAGCCATACATCATGCGCATGAGCTGCCATGAGGCTCTTCCTAATCGCAACATGCTACCATGAAGCGGATTCAAAAAAGCCCCCCTTTTGCATGCTCCTTTCTCACTTTCCTTCCCTGATGTCTCTTCACTTTAGGCAATTCATTGTTGTTGTGTTTCCTGGTTCTTCGTGTGACACCTCTCAGCTCTTGGCTTCAGCTTATCATGACCAAGCGTGATTCCTGTCTTGCCGGTATCACCTCGCCTCGAGCACCGATGAGCATCCCTCGTCGCCATTCCCGTTACCAAGGCCAATCTCACAGCGATGCTACATCGTCTGGTTCAAGACCTCAACCGAGTAGTATCACTGACAATGTGGCTCTTTTTTCCCTTTCAGGGATCGATCATAGTGGCAGTTCAACGTATCACGGGTATACGACATCCGTCCAGTCTGTACCCCTGCCTGATGCTCCTGCCCATCAGACTCCAATCCAGCCCACTCGTGAAGAAGCTTACCCACTCCAAACGGAGATCGAACAACAGCATCGAACGCTCCATACTCACATATCTTCACAGAGGTCCGCTCTCCTCAAACGGGAGACAGACGCCTCATGGTGACGGAAGTAGACCGTTATGGTGTGCAACATAACCGTCAACCGGAGTTCTTCTTCAACGGGATTGAAATTGTTGGTCACATCCGTGCAGATCGCTATGGGTGGATTGACTCATGGGAACAATCCACCCAACTTGCCAATTACTGGCGTCGCCATTTCAACATTCCCGAAGTGGATCCTGAAGCGAACTATTGGCAACACTATCCACAAGCGTCTGACAATGCTGACCAACCTGAGGAAAGCCAAGTATCTCTACCGGGATCAGGGATGGAAGACACAGACTCCATCATAGCCAATGTCGGCGCGGCATCGGCACCAAGTCAGATCCACCAACTGGCTGCAGTCCTCTGGGACATTCTCAACAATGACAGGGAATCCAATGCTGCGATCCTCGAGAAGCTTGAATACCCAGGTGATGATTTGAGCACCAATCCGGTCCAGGTCTTCTCGGCAGCAGACTTGGCCCACCTTGCCAGTCATTTGGCCCAGACGACTCAAGTCCTTTCCCAGCAAGCTCAGCACATGGCAGAGTTGTCCGACATTGATGATGACTAACAACAATTTGAACTTCCTGCCGAAGTCGTTCTGAGCCAACCGGATAATTCAAATGCTGATCCTCTCCCTGTATTTTGATTTTGCGTCTTCGCTTTATCCTGCTTCAGGACCTAGATAAGAGCTTCGCTAGCAACTTCGCAGTCGCTAAAAAACAACCTCGCGGCAGCGAGGCGTGTGTGTGGAACATCTGAAAACATGTAAATCTTCTACTTGATGATTTCGATTTGCTGCTTCTTTTATTTGAATTTGCATGATTTGCTGTTAGTTTTTTTCCACTTATCTTGCCGGTTTCACTATCATTTATAGAGCAGGGGGCCCGTGGGCACATGGATGGCACGGGCCAACGAAGACCCATCCATGATGTCGTGAAAACGTACCTGCAAATTTTCCAATTTCTGAAATGGCGACCGGCCAAGCCAAGTACCGGCATGTCGTTTTTCCAACGGTTTTCAAACCAAACTACTGTGCGGTTTTCGCAATCTGAATTTCTGCCGACTTCGTCAGATGGAACAGTTACTTCCAGCTGAGCCCAAACAGGGATTACTTTTCGAATTTTCTCTGATCGTGTCATCAATTTCCTCCTGTCAGGTTTACTGAGGTGTTTTTTGCACGTTTGATGCATTCCACATCAGTAATTCGATAAGATATTTCTGAGCAAGTGTGTGTGTGTGCAACATCTAAATAGATGTAAAACTTCTCCTTTTTTCTTTTTCTTTCTTCTCCCCTTTTAATAAAGCAGGGGGCCAGGAACCCATCACTGTCTGTCCTGGCCAACGAAGACCAAAACGTACCTGCAATTTTCCTCGTGATGGGACGTGGCTAACCCAAGAACCACCACGCCGTTTCCACACAATTTATTTTACATGGTTTTACACGGTCGCCGCTTTGGGAGTCTGGTTTGAGCTACGTTGGATATTTTCGGAAGACCTTCATTATATTCACGAAGTACAACCACGAGATCTTTAGGTCTAATTGCCTAGGCCTGTTGCACGTTACAGGACTCAGTTCCTGATGGATCTCTTCAAAGATCCAAATTTGTGTAGTGTGTGTGTGACGACAAGCGCCAGGAAGCGCTGAACACAACATGCAAATGTCCGACAAGAGACTGATCACGATCTGGAAGAATCATCCGGAGGCAATCGGCTATTTCCTGCCAACAAGCACCAGCTGGCAGCAAGCATTCCAGCTGAGGCTTCATGTGGTTCAATAACCATTCCTGAGGGCTTGGAAGTTGTCCAAGGAGCTGCAAAACGAAGCGGTCCGGATCACGAACCACTTCTGCAACGACATGGCGCATGCCTTCTGCTGTCAGTTTGCTGGATGGATCGCATGCCAAGAGCCGCGCTGTGGCCCATGAAATGCCTTCGGGCAGCATAGGCTCCAGGGTTGGACGAAGCCTTACCATCTCCAATGCTACGGAAAGCTCTTCACTCTGGAACACGTCTCCAAGGCTCAAATCCTTCCAACCTGCGGGTGAAGCAGCATCAATAATCAATGCGTGCAGGTGCAAGAACATAACATCATCTATGGGGAGGCATCACGTTGGCACTGCTTCAAGCATGACATGTTAACCTTCCCCCCAGAAAATTGACGCTTGGGGTCCAAAAAGCAATCGATGAACGTGCGCGCGGCGCGGGGTTGGCGCAAAATTTGCTTGAGGTAGGGTCGTGTGTATTCAGGGTTGGTGTAAGATTGGCTAAATCTTGTCTACAGGGGGTTGGCTGCAGGCTTTGTGCACGGTGCTGATTTAGGGCCGGTTTATGGCTATTCAGGGCCGGCTCCAAGTTTACTGAAAAAAGGTTCAGCTTGATGTAGGCTTGCCTTCTATCTTTTCAAAAACAAATTAATTTAGGGTTGGTTCTTGATATATTTATGGTGGGTTCGGGGTTTACATGAGAATTGTTTACCGTTTACGAAAGGTCGCGTTTACGGTTTAAGGGCTGGCTTACGGTTTATCTCGGCAAAAACGGTTAAGGTACTGAAAACGCGGGGAGCACTTTAGCAAGATGTGAATAGCAAACCCAAGTGTTATTTGAGCTTATTTAGGGCCAATTTAAGATATTTAAGCTTATCTTATTTTAACTTGTTTTGAGCAAATTTAACCTTGTTTAGGCCTATATGAAATGAAATAAGCAGACCATGGGTTAAGCAATTAATTCCTAAATTAAAACTCAATTCAATATTTTAAAATGCTGACTTAGTCTTAGGTAACAGCCATGCCATTGCCACGCAGCAGTTCACGGCTAAATTCTGGGAAGCCAAGCTCAACTAAACTACTAGATTAAGCTACTTACTTAAAGATTTTGATTGTTACTTATACTTTCCAGGGTTAAGCAAAACAATGCTTAGCTGTGGTGCCTCAACCAGTGCCAGAACAGCAATGGCTACCGTCTGAATAATACCTAGCAAGCCAGAAACAAACCACTATCAGACAACCGTCACGTTACCATCAATCATCAAACCACCAAACAATCAATCAAGCAACCGCCAAACCAGCACCGAACCAACGCCAAGCCACCAGCAGTGGCTCCTAGATTTGCTGGCAATGCTTTGGTCGCTTTATAGACCACAATTGTTTCGCGTGGCGGGGCGCTTCCTGCCACCAGACTGGCTGGCCGCGCCTTGGCCGCTTGGGACACCGCGGCTGCTTCGCGTGGCAAGCGTTTAGCATTCTATCTGGCGTTCTGTCTACCATTCCATCTGGCATTGTGTGTGGCATTCTGCTATACTGCATCCGGAACTGCCGCTGCAGTTCGGGTCCGGAGCTCGCGATGTAGAGTTCGGGTCCAGGCGTGGTCCACTGCATCCGGACCTTGCGATATGGAGTTCGGAGCTCGCGATTCAGAGTTCGGATCCGGGCATGGCCGCTGCACCCGGAGCTCGCTAAATCCGCCGAGCCCGGCCTTGGCCAAGGCAGGGGCGGCGCCTGGGACCACCGCAGGTGTGGAACTGTGGAACTTCTCCTTCTTAGCTTCCGAAGGTCAAACCCATCTCGCAGCCAACAGGCACCCCAATGCCACATCAATGGCTTCTTATGGGCGTCCAAGCCTGCCCTTTGCCAGCCCTTAAACTGACACCGCTTCTTCTGGGCGGTCCAGCCACATCAATGGCTTCTTTCGGGCGTCCAAGCCTGCCGTTTGCCAGCCCTTAAACCCTTCCTGCCGCTGCCCCAAGGCCACATCGCTTAAACATTCTCTTGGCATGCTTCATCCTGCAGCCAACAGGCACCCCAAGGCCACACATCAATGGCTTCTTATGGGCGTCCGTCCAAGCCTGCCGTTTGCCAGCCCTTAAACGCTTAAAACCTTTAAACTGCTTAACAACCATCAAAACCCTTAAAAACCTTAAAGCCCTGCCAGCTGTGCAAAAGCTTCTCGGAACGCCGAACCGCGCAGGCAATAGCGCTGCCCCAAGGCCACATCGCTTACCCATTCTCTTGGCATGCTGCATCCTGCAGCCAACAGGCACCCCAAGGCCACACATCAATGGGTTCTTATGGGCGTCCAAGCCTGCCGTTTGCCAGCCCTTAAACGCTTAAAAACACTCGAAACCCTTAAAAACCCTCAAAACCATTAAAACCCTGCCAGCTGTGTAAAAGCTTCTCGGAACACCGAACCGCGCAGGCAATAGCGCTGCCCCAAGGCCACATCGCTTAAACATTCTCTTGGCATGTTTCATCCTGCAGCCTATGGGCGTCCAAGCCCGCCGTTTGCCAGCCCTTAAACGCTTAAAAACCCTCGAAACCCTTAAAAACTCTTAAAACCCTGGAAACTGTGCAAAAGCTTCTCGGAACGCCGAACCGCGCAGGCAATAGCGCTGCCCCAAGGCCACATCGCTTAAACATTCTCTTGGCATGCTTCATCCTGCAGCCAGGATGCACCCCAAGGCCACACATCAATGGCTTCTTATGGGCGTCCAAGCCTGCCGTTTGCCAGCCCTTAAACGCTTAAAAACCGTCGAAACCATAAAAACCCTCAAAACCATTAAAACCCTTAAAACCCTGCAAACTGTGCAAAAGCTTCTCGGAACGCCGAACCGCGCAGGCAATAGCGCTGCCCCAAGGCCACATCGCTTAAACATTCCCTTGGCATGCTTCATCCTGCAGCCAGCAGGCACCCCAAGGCCACACATCAATGGCTTCTTATGGGCGTCCAAGCCTGCCGTTTGCCAGCCCTTAAACCTTAAAACCCTTAAAACCTTAAAAACCTCAAAACCCTTAAAACCCTGCAAACTGTGCTGCTTCATCCCGCAGCCGACAGGCACCCCAAGGCCACACATCAATGGGTTCTTATGGGCGTCCAAGCCTGCCGTTTGCCAGCCCTTACACCCTCAAAACCCTTAAAACCCTGCAAACTGTGCAAAAGCTTATCGGAACGCCGAACCGCGCAGGCAATAGCGCTGCCCCAAGGCCACATCGCTTAAACATTCTCTTGGCATGCTTCATCCTGCAGCCAACAGGCACCCCAAGGCCACACATCAATGGCTGCTTATGGGCGTCCAAGCCTGCCGTTTGCTAGCCCTTAAACGCTTAAAAACCCTCGAAACCCTTAAAAACCCTCAAAACCCTTAAAACCCCTAAAACCCTGCAAACTGTGCAAAAGCTTCTCGGAACGCCGAACCGCGCAGGCAATAGCGCTGCCCCAAGGCCACATCGCTTAAACATTCTCTTGGCATGCTTCATCCTGCAGCCAACAGGCACCCCAAGGCCACACATCAATGGCTTCTTATGGGCGTCCAAGCCTGCCGTTTGCCAGCCCCTAAAAGCTTAAAAACCCTTAAAACGCTTAAAAACCCTCAAAAGCCCTTAAAACTGTGCAAAAGCTTCTCGGAACGCCGAACCGCGCAGGCAATAGCGCTGCCCCAAGGCCACATCGCTTAAACATTCTCTTGGCATGCTTCATCCTGCAGCCAACAGGCACCCCAAGGCCACACATCAATGGCTTCTTATGGGCGTCCAAGCCTGCCGTTTGCCAGCCCCTAAAAGCTTAAAACCCTTAAAATGCTTAAAAACCCTCAAAACCCTTAAAACCTTTAAAACCGTGCAAACTGTGCAAAAGCTTCTCGGAACGCCGAACCGCGCAGGCAATAGCGCTGCCCCAGGCCACATCGCTTAAACATTCTCTTGGCATGCTTCATCCTGCAGCCAACAGGCACCCCAAGGCCACACATCAATGGCTTCTTATTGGCATGCACCCTTACAACTGTACAAAAGCTTCTCGGAACGTCGAACCGCGCAGGGAACAGCTGCCCCAAGGCCACATCCATCGCTTCGTCTGGGCTGTCCAGCCTGTCGTTCGCCCCCTCAAACGCGCATGTTACCAACCCCCCTATAGGAGGGCTCGGCGTTAGCCCATTCTATAAAGATCCCCCAGACACGACCAGCTGGCAGAAGGAGGAGGCAACGAGGAGGCGGAAATGAGGACAAGAAGGAGGAGGAGGAGGAGGAGCACCTTTGTTAAAATCTAGATAGCCTCACCTGGCAGGTGGGAACAAGAAAAATGATGAGATGTTGGATTCAATGACAAAAATGTGCATGCGTGAGAAAAACGACACAAGAAGAAAGACGGATAGAAACGATGCGCAAGCTGCGCAGGCCAAAATGCGTTGATTCTCTTGTTTCCCGAGACCGGCCTCGTAAAGCACAAAGGGAACTGCACCATTGCGCACTTGCACTAAAAAAACGTTACAGCACACCACAGCCGAACAGTTATCTATGGCTCCACGTGGTACCCCTTCACTGGTAATTATCACTTTTTCTTCTCCTTTCGTGGCTGGCATGGCAGAACCTCCGGATTCTAAACTGCCAAGCTGTACCAAAGCTTACCTCCTGCGATTTAAGCCTTCAACAAAAACTTGGGAGGAGCTTGAGGCTCGTGCTTTTTGCATTTAAAGCTAAAAAGTTTTCGAAGTTTGAAGCTTGCGGGCTTTGGGGATTGATCAACATCAATTCTGGGGTTTAGCGGCCATGGATTTTTGAAGGCGCATGGATTCCCTGGTGCAAGGTTCGTACGTGTCTTTGGTCTTGTGCCTGCCGATTTGTTCAGTTTCAGGTTCACGGGCTTTCAAGACTTTGGGCCCTTGCAGAACAAGAAAGCAAGGGCTCGCACGCTGAGGACTCGCATTTGCTACGGCTAGGGGCTCCTCCTTGAAGAAAGAAATTGCATGACAAATCTCATGATGGCGCATCCAGAAAAATGCCCGAAAAAATGATCTGCTTTTTCAAGGCATGTGCGTGTGACAATGAATTCATTTAGCTGGTTTGGGACCTTGCAGGCAAAATATTTTCTAAACACATCTGCGCAAAAAGAGCACAGGCAAAACCAAACAAAGACACAATTAACATATCGAAACTGTTAAACATGTTAAAATTACTCTCGCGCCCGTGTTCTCTGGCCGTCGCTGTAGGTTGTGGAAAAACGCTCGGGCGGAAGCGGGGCTGCGGTAAGTTTTTATTGCCCACTTGCAAGGTGAGTAGCTCATGGGCCGGGCCTTTTTCAAATAACATGATTAGCCGTGCAGACCCTGCGTCCGGCGCAAGACTGCGAAAACCCAAGTGCCTTCAAGAGAAGAAAGCCGCTTCCTGAAGATAGCCAAATCATCCAAGCTGAGGTTGGCCAAAACTGCTTTTAGATCTTCCCAAGCAACATCTGGCAAGCATTCTTTGACTTTGGGAACCAAGATGGCCGCAAACAACGCTTGAAGTGTGGTAGGCTCGCTATTCAGCTGGTGAGAGAAGATCTCGCAAAGATTGTGAAACTGATCTGCTGGTCTCCCAGATCTCCATGCAGCTTTGATTTCATCTGCTTCTGCTTTGTTCAAAATTTGCTGCATTATCATCTTGACCTCCTCGCTTCTCACAGGCGCGTCATCTATGCCAAGGTACTTTTCCAGGAGTTCGCGCATTCCGCCCCACAGTCGGATGAAGGCAAGTTTCACCGCCAACGGGTGGAATTTTGAAGCCAACGACATCAAGAGCCGGTTTGGCTGCATCAAATCTTGGCGCAGTTCCTCTAAACTCATCTCACCGACGGTGTTTTCTATGCCATCCAAATCTTCCCATGCAACGTCAGGCGGCAGCACGGCCGCCACCGCAGCCTTGACTTTGACCAAAACCCACGCGCGTGCTGGTGGCCCCGCAGTTCTCTCTACCTCCGCAATGAACCTTCGTGGGTCTTTCAATCCTTCCACCAACTCAAGAAGTCTTCAATGTCTTTCCAGCCCACGCCCTCCGGCGCAAGCTTTTGAAACTTGGAAACCGCATTTGCAATGCTAAATCTTTTTGCCAAGGTCGGGACCTCTTCCAACAACTTTTGCAAAGCTTCCCTGGGATTGCAAATCCCTCGCCGAAGGTCTTCAGGCTTGACAAATTTCAACTGATCCTCCACTTCTTCCCATTCCTCAGAAACACAATAGTTACTAGTGCGGGTGGTTCAGGATGCACATGATTTACAAGCTGACATGATCTCAGTCTTCCACGTAGCCGCGGTGGCCTGAACCGCCAAAGCTTTTGTTTCCCCCAGAATTTGCGACGCCCAGGTGTCCAGACAGAACCAGACAGACCAAACACTTAATGACAGTACCGTGTGTGAATGACATGGTTTGAAAAGCAAGAGGCCAAAGCCTGACATGCATCACATTCATTATATATATATATAATGATAAATGTATAAATAAATATATCGGCATATGTATATATATATATGTATGTATGTATGTATGTATGAATAAATACATATGTATATATCTGAACACATGTACACACAGTAGATGGACGAATTAATCAAACCCCGCATCCATGAGTTGTAGGCTACCCCCTGTCCCCCAAGTTTCAACGTTATGGTTTCGTATCTTTGTTCCTGATCTTAGGGTTTGATTTATTTCGTCCATTCGAAGGAGCGAATCAAACCAAAAAAACAACATTGTAATTGGGGGTGCGGGGGGTTATTGGATTACAAGGGTTTGAATAGTTCGTCCATCTACGGTATGCATATATGTACATATATATATACACATGAATATGTACATGTATATATGTATATGTATATTCAAAACTAAATTTAAAAAAAAGCGGAACTGGGAAAGAGAAAGGGAACTGGAAAAACACAGGACTTCGCACACGCTGAAGAAAAGGAAGTGGAAAAACACAGCATAGCATTTTCAATCACGCCCGGGAAAGGGAACTGGAAAAACACGGCATTTTCAATCACAACCGGGAAAGGGAACTGGAAAAACATAGCATTTTCAATCACGCCCAGGAAAGGGAAGAGCAAAAACGCAGCATTTTCAATCACACCCGGGGAAGGGAATTGGAGAAACAAGGCAGTTGCAAGCACGGCCGGAATGGGAACTGGAAAAGCACAGCATGCGGGAGGACCTTCGCGACACGGCCAGCTGAAGTAGGTTTTATCATCCACTTTTATGGCGATATCATGTGATGATTTATTTTTGGAAAACGACAGGTGTCTTGTCAATGCGAAGAAAATGGAAGAAATAAAGTTATTGAGGGATACATGGTGGGTCTCATCATCCACTTTTGTGGCGTTGTGACTGGCTTTGCTTTTCAATCATATGGTGACTTCTTTGCTTAAGAAACAACAACTGGTGACAGGTTGTGTATTGTCAGCGCATAGTTGTGGAAGAAATGAATACATGGAGGATTCATGATGGGCCTTATCATTCACCTTTGTGGCGTTGTCACTGGGGGCTTGCTTTAAGACTCATTGTGACACTTTGGTAGAACATAATTTGTGAGTTCTTAGCAAAAACATATGTCAGAAAAAATGCGACACCATGATGAGAAAGTAAGCGCATGAGACAGAACGGGGAGCCGTGGTCAGCAGGAGCGCAGAGAATGTGAAGGGTAATTTTTCCTAGTTTGTAGTCTGTTTTTTCTGTTCCGTGATGCGTTGTCTTTACGCGCACTTTGCTGGTTCAGTTCCGGCCTTCTTCCATTTCCTTTCCTTAGACGTGGTTGCAACTGCTGTGCTTTTCCAATTCCCTTCCTTAGGCATGATTGCAATTCCTGTGTTTTTGGAGCTCCCTTTCCCGGGTGTGATTGAAAATGCCGTGTTTTTCCGGTTCCCTTTCCCGGGCGTGATTGAAAATGCTGTGTTTTTCCACTTCCTTTTCTTCAGCGTGTGCGAAGTCCTGTGTTTTTCCAGTTCCCCGTCTCTTTCCCAGTTCCCTTCCACTTCCCTTCCCAGTTCCCTTCTCAATTCCCTTCGCGGATTCCCTGTGTTTTTCCAAGGAAAGTGCGTTGCAACTTCTTTTCTTTAAAAGACAAAACAATTTTTGTTTTTTCTTTTAAAAAAGTTGCAACGCACTTTCCTTGGGAAAACACAGGGAATCCGCGAAGGGAACTGGGAAGGGAACTGGGAAGGGAAGTGGAAGGGAACTGGGAAAGAGATAGGGAACTGGAAAAACACAGGACTTCGCACACGCTGAAGAAAAGGAAGTGGAAAAACACAGCATTTTCAATCACGCCCGGGAAAGGGAACCGGAAAAACACGGCATTTTCAATCACAACTGGGAAAGGGAACTGGAAAAACATAGCATTTTCAATCACGCCCGGGAAAGGAAATAGGAAAAACACAGCATTTTCAATCACACCCGGGAAAGGGAATTGGAAAAACACGGCAGTTGCAAGCACGGCCGGAATGGGAACTGGAAAAGCACAGCATGTGGGAGGACCTTCGCGACACGGCCAGCCGAAGTGGGTTTTATCATCCACTTTTATGGCGATATCATGTGATGACTTATTTTTGGAAAACGACAGGTGTCTTGTCAATGCAAAGAAAATGGAAGAAATAAAGCTATTGAGGGATACATGATGGGTCTCATCATCCACTTTTGTGGCGTTGTGACTGGCTTTGCTTTTCAATCATGGGGTGACTCTTTGCTTAAGAAACAACAGGTGGTGACAGGTTGTGTATTGTCAATGCATAGTTGTGGAAGAAATGAATACATGGAGGATTCATGATGGGCCTTATCATTCACCTTTGTGGCGTTGTCACTGGGGGCTTGCTTTAAGATTCATTGTGACACTTTGGAGGAACATAATATGTGAGTTCTTAGCAAAAACATATGTCAGAAAAAATGCGACACCATGATGAGAAAGTAAGCGCATAAGACAGAACGGGGAGCGGTGGTCAGCAGGAGCGCAGAGAATGTGAAGGGTAATTTTTCCTAGTTTGTAGTTTGTTTTTTCTGTTCCGTGATAATACGTTGTCTTTACGCGCGCTTTGCTGGTTCAGTTCCGGCCTTCTTCCATTTCCTTTCCTTAGACGTGGTTGCAACTGCTGTGCTTTTCCAACTCCCTTCCTTAGGCATGATTGCAATTCCTGTGTTTTTGGAGCTCCCTTTCCCGGGTGTGATTGAAAATGCCGTGTTTTTCCGGTTCCCTTTCCCGGGCGTGATTGAAAATGCTGTGTTTTTCCACTTCCTTTTCTCCAGCGTGTGCGAAGTCCTGTGTTTTTCCAGTTCCCTTTCTCTTTCAAAATTTCCCAGTTCCCCTCCAGTTCCCTTCCCAGTTCCCTTCTCAATTCCCTTCGCGGATTCCCTGTGTTTTTCCAAGGAAAGTGCGCTGCAACTTTTTTTTTTAGAAAAAACAAAAAGTGTTTTGTTTTTTAAAGAAAAGAAGTTGCAACGCACTTTCCTTGGAAAAACACAGGGAATCCGCGAAGGGAATTGAGAAGGGAACTGGGAAGGGAACTGGAAGGGAACTGGGAAAGAGATGGGGAACTGGAAAAACACAGGACTTCGCACACGCTGAAGAAAAGGAAGTGGAAAAACACAGCATTTTCAATCACGCCCGGGAAAGGGAACCGGAAAAACACGGCATTTTCAATCACACCCGGGAAAGGGAGCTCCAAAAACACAGGAATTGCAATCATGCCTAAGGAAGGGAATTGGAAAAGCACAGCAGTTGCAACCACGTCTAAGGAAAGGAAATGGAAAAACAAGGCAGTTGCAAGCACGGCCGGAATGGGAACTGGAAAAGCACAGCATGCGGGAGGACCTTCGCGACATGGCCAGCTGAAGTGGGTTTTATCATCCACTTTTATGGCGATATCATGTGATGACTTATTTTTGGAAAACGACGGGTGTCTTGTCAATGCAAAGAAAATGGAAGAAATAAAGCTATTGAGGGATACATGGTGGGTCTCATCATCCACTTTTGTGGCGTTGTGACTGGCTTTGCTTTTCAATCATATGGTGACTTCTTTGCTTAAGAAACAACAAGTGGTGACAGGTTGTGTATTGTCAATGCATAGTTGTGGAAGAAATGAATACATGGAGGATTCATGATGGGCCTTATCATTCACCTTTGTGGCGTTGTCACTGGGCTTGCTTTAAGACTCATTGTGACACTTTGGAAGAACATAATTTGTGAGTTCTTGGCAAAAACATATGCCAGAAAAAATGCGCAACCATGATGAGAAAGTAAGCGCATAAGACAGAACGGGGAGCGGTGGTCAGCAGGAGCGCAGAGAATGTGAAGGGTAATTTTTCCTAGTTTGTAGTTTGTTTTTTCTGTTCCGTGATGCGTTGTCTTTACGCGCGCTTTACTGGTTCAGTTCCGGCCTTCTTCCATTTCCTTTCCTTAGACGTGGTTGCAACTGCTGTGCTTTTCCAACTCCCTTCCTTAGGCATGATTGCAATTCCTGTGTTTTTGGAGCTCCCTTTCCCGGGTGTGATTGAAAATGCCGTGTTTTTCCGGTTCCCTTTCCCGGGCGTGATTGAAAATGCTGTGTTTTTCCACTTCCTTTTCTTCAGCGTGTGCGAAGTCCTGTGTTTTTCCAGTTCCCCATCTCTTTCCCAGTTCCCTTCCAGTTCCCTTCCCAGTTCCCTTCTCAATTCCCTTCGCGGATTCCCTGTGTTTTTCCAAGGAAAGTGCGTTGCAACTTCTTTTCTTTAAAAAACAAAACATTTTTTGTTTTTTCTTTAAAAAAAAGTTGCAGCGCACTTTCCTTGGAAAAACGCAGGGAATCCGCGAAGGGAATTGAGAAGCGAACTGGAAGGGAGCTGGGAAAGAGATGGGGAACTGGAAAAACACAGGACTTCGCACACGCTGAAGAAAAGGAAGTGGAAAAACACAGCATTTTCAATCACGCCCGGGAAAGGGAACCGGAAAAACATGGAAAAACACAGCATTTTCAATCACAACCGGGAAAGGGAACTGGAAAAACATAGCATTTTCAATCACGCCCAAAAAAAAAGTTGGCAAAACACAGCATTTTCAATCACACCCAGGAAAGGGAATTGGAAAAACACGGCAGTTGCAAGCACGGCCGGGATGGGAACTGGAAAAGCACAGCATGTGGGAGGACCCTCGCAACACGGCCAGCTGAAGTGGGTTTTATCATCCACTTTTATGGCGATATCATGTGATGACTTATTTTTTGGAAAACGACAGGTGTCTTGTCAATGCAAAGAAATGGAAGAAATAAAGCTACTGAGGGATACATGGTGGGTCTCATCATCCACTTTTGTGGCGTTGTGACTGGCTTTGCTTTTCAATCATGGGGTGACTTCTTTGCTTAAGAAACAACAACTGGTGACAGGTTGTGTATTGTCAATGCATAGTTGTGGAAGAAATGAATACATGGAGGATTAATTATGGGCCTTATCATTCACCTTTGTGGCGTTGTCACTGGGGGCTTGCTTTTAGACTCATTGTGACACTTTGGGAGAATATAATTTGTGAGTTCTTAGCAAAAACATATGCCAGAAAAAATGCGAAACCATGATGAGAAAGTAAGCGCATGAGACAGTAGATGGACAAATTAATCAAACCCCGCATCCATGAGTTGTAGGCTACCCCCTGTCCCCCCAGATTTCAACGTTATGGTTTCGTATCTTTGTTCCTGATCTTAGGGTTTGATTTATTTCGTCCATTCGAAGGAGCGAATCAAACCAAAAAAACAACATGGTAATTGGGGGTACGGGAGGTTATTGGATTACAAGGGTTTGAATAGTTCGTCCATCTACGGTATGTATATGTACACATATATATATACATATGAATATGTACATGTATATATGTATATGTATATTCAAAAATAAATTTAAAAAAATAACTAGAAAAATAAATAATAAGTCATAAAAAAATAATAGAGAAATAAATAATTAATTAAATATCCTCTTGGGAATTCACCTAAAGGGTTGAGGTGTCTGATTCTATAGGTACAAAATCAGGACCCCCAAGAAAAGAATGTATTTTTCTATATAGAATCAGGACCCCCAAGAAGAACTCAACTGTACAAAATCGAGGCCTCCAGGGTTCAGTTTGTGTGAAATTTTAAGTAAAAAAAGGGTCTACATTCTACATTGGGTAGGCTGGGGTGGCTACAGAATCAAGAGCCCCAAGCTTAAACATCAGAAATTTAAGCAAATTTAAGTAAAACCAACCCACTTCTGTCTGACAATGTAGTTGAGACCCCAAAGTCTGTACAGCCTGATCTTGTTCCCCACAACTTTGTGTGGGGTTCTTGTTTTTGATTCTGTATCCCGGGCTCCTTCTCCTCCTCCTCCTCGTCCTCCCGCTGCCTCCCTCACACACACAAAAAACTTAACATACAATAATTTCACATACAATATGTCACGTACCATCTCTCACATACCATAACTTCACACACACAAACTTAACATACAATAATTTCACATAACATACAATAATTTCACATACAATACTTTAACGCTCACATACCATCTCTCACATACCATAACTTCACACACACTCACACACACACACTCACATGGTGAAAGATCGCTCACATACCATAACTTCACACACACAAACTTAACATACAATAATTTCACATACAATTTGTCACATACCATCTCACACACACACACTCAACACACTCAACACACACACACACATACACACATACATACATACATACATACATACATACATACATACATACATACATACATACATACACATACACATACACACACACACACACTCACTCACATACACACTCACATGGTGAAAGATCGCTCACATATCATCTCACATGAAAGATCGCTCACAGACCATCTCATACAGATCGCCGCGCCATTTTGCGTGGCAGGCGGGCCATTTTGCGTGGCAGGCGTGGTTCAATCTCACATCCACCTTCGTTTCACGTGGCAGGCGTGGCACAATCTCACATCCGCCTTCGTTTTGCGTGGCAGGCGTGGCACTCATGGGACTGGGTGGCGCGCTTGGGCCGGTTTGGTCGCGGATGACGCCGCGGCACTTTGCGTGGCAGGCGTGGCGCAATCTCACATCCACCTTCGTTTCACGTGGCAGGCGTGGCACAATCTCACATCCGCCTTCGTTTCACGTGGCAGGCGTGGCATTTCTTGTTTGTACATGCCCACTGTTCTTTTGCAGCTGTGAGTTCTTCGGCACGTGACAAAGGATATCGTAACCACACCAAGGTTTCAAAACCGTCAGTTGCTTTGGTTGACTGAAAAACGCTTGCGGTCGTTTCAAAATCACATCATGCCTCTTCCGCAGAGTGATACGCGTTGCTCTGCCGGCGTCGCTGGCAGCGGACATCCGATAAAGGCTCCCGTGTGTTCTTTGTCACACCTTTTCAATACGTTTGCTCTGTTGTTGTCACGCGTGTGAGTCCTGGGTCAAACTCTTTTTCTGCCAGGTGCTGTCTCGGGACCTCGCATCAACTTTGTCAACGTTGGCGGGTGAGCCGCGCCGATCTGATGGTGAAGATACGTTGGAAGAGCAAACTGCAGTGCTTCTCCAGCTACCACGCAAACTGGAAGATGTGTGCGAGCAGCTCTGCGAGAAGCTGCAGAAAGTTCCATTGCCGGCTCTCGGCCACGTCGCTGCGCCGGTTGGCTCTTTGTCCCCTGTGCTTTGCTCCACACCTCCCACAGATGCTCTCGACGACCACGTTCGCTGCACAGTGATAGCACTCTCTGGCAACGTCGTGGCGGAAGTTTTTGTATGTTTTTGTTCTCAAGGGCCAACCATGGCTCGATGCCATACCGTTTGGTTGTTGGTGTCATTGCTGGAACGTTGCCAATTTTCATCTCTCCGACACGGACATGGTGGTGTTCCCGCGGCCAAGACTCAGCCAGTTGGTTCCCTCGCATGGATCTGACATTGTTCTCAAGCTCATTACCAGCAACGAGCCGCCCCCAGTGAACATTCGTGTGGTCATCGGTAAGGCAGCTGCCACCTCTGCGACTTACAGACCGCAGCCTAGCACCAGTCCGCTCTACGACTTCTGCGAGCTTCAGATTCTCATGCTTGGAAATTTGGATCGGGTTCAACTGAGAGACGTTGATCTTCGGTGCCCAGACAGTCCGTTAGCCAAGCGGCTCCGGCAACGCTTCTATGAGATGCTGCACTGCAACGTGAAGCTGGGAAAGCGGACGCTGTCCGAATTTCGTGCTGATGAGTCGTCGTCAACCTATTACCTTCACGTGCTAGTGTCTTCAGATGGCCAGAGACTGACTTTACGTGCCAAGCTGCTATATGACCCAGTTTATCTTCATGTGCCTGTGGTGGAAGACGGCAAAGTCTGTCCATGGAATAAGCCGGCTTTCGCGGAAATCTGCGAGGCTATTGAACATGCAAGTGTATAAAGTCTATACGCAAGCTTTCGTATCTGCTGTTTTGGCTGCCGGCATTGTTGATTCAATGTGGAAAGACATGCCAAGCAGATGACATTGGAACGCGCAGTGAACCCCACAATGGCTTGGCGCAACGTGCAAGGAGCCCAATCTCAGTCGCACTGCGTGCGATTGACATATTTGGGAAAAGACTGCACAGGTAGTGTCATAAGATGAAGAAGCTGTGATTGCGTCGCTAGAAAATGCTGCCTGATGTCAGCACTCCGAGGTTTGTTGATTGTTGTGTGTTGGCAGACAAGGGAATGCACCACAAACAATGATGTGTTGCAGACGAAAGTTGCTTGATGCCTGTCACGTTGATTGATGTTTAGAGCGTTGTAGAAATTGATTTGGTTGAAGCTTTGGAAACCACTGTACCCTGTTTGGAACCGAGAAGTTTGGGTATCAAGAAATATCTCGATAGTGTTGCCGGGGATGGATGCGAGAGATAGTGCCAGAGACGATGCCATGTATGAGGCAGAGAATGATCAACTCATTGGCAAGCTCATCGAGCTAGAACGCACCACAAGTGCATTGAGGTTAGTGCAGACGTTAGTCATACTTCTGGAGCGGTTGACGCCACTGTTGGAAGAGATCAGGGCAATTAGCCGCAACAGCTTGGCTGTCATCGCTATGCTGAAAGACAATCTCCTGAGCGTAGAAGCGGAGTGACAGCAACGATCGTGCGAAGTACGAGAGCAAATACTAGCAAGGTATCATAGAGCGTTGAGAGGCTGGCGAGAGCAATGAGCTGAGTTTGCATCCGGCCGCATTGACGTCGTCAGACGCACTAGCCGCGCGCATTGTTGACTCACTGTGGGAAGACATGCGTGGGGCCGGCCAGCGAATCTTTTGTCAGCTCTCATCTCATGATTGACTCAGTGTGGGAAGACATGAATGACGACGGCCACCGCATCTTTTGTTGGCTGCCCGATCCATGGTTGACCCACTGTGGGAAGACTGGGGTCGCGACGGCCAAATCAAAACTGTTTGTGACATGTGTAGAGTTTGCCCCACTGGGAAGAAGTGCTACAGGTCTTGTCGGCATTTTGATCACAGCGAAAATATGGCATTCGTGCGGCAAACTGCATTGCATCGTTTCTGCACATGTTGCTTTGACAGCCAGCTCCATATACGCGTTCTGTCCTTTTGCGGCCAGGTACTTTTCCGCTTCGGAGAGAGAAGCGTGTGTGGCACGGCGGCCCAGTGAAGTTTCTGGATCGGAAGCCTTGGCAATCCTCATGTTTCTGAGAAACACATTGCAGAGGCTATAGTGTTCCACATGTTTCACGCTTAAATGTTAGTATTTGGCTTTAGTTAGTCCGTTGTTGACAAGCTACTGCAGCTATGGCAACGTCGCGAGACCGAGAAGAACGTAGAAGATTGCAGGAGCCGAGCAACAGGCGGAATCGCCTTCCTGATCTCATCAGTGACAATGAGCGACGGCTCACTTGTGGAGATCAACTTGACTAGCCAATCGAAAGGGAAGATGTGGCACGGTTCTTGGACGTACACACTACGGTAGCCATGGCACCACCTGCTGCACACCGTGAATCAAGTTTCAAGAGAGCGGTCGCCAAGATTGGTGTTTTCCTCAGGGCCTACCCTTCGTGTAACTTCACCAGATGTACAAGACCGTTTCAGGCAGCTACCACCACCGCCATCGCAAGTCATGGCGAGTCAGCTTCTGATGAAAGAATGCCGCTTGAGCGAGCTGGAGCCGCGAGCTTCGCGCAACTGCGGCCCCAACGATGTGGAGACGCACCCATGTCAAAGGCATCAGCGGTGGCCACAAGAGCGGGGTCATTGCCTATGTCCACTGCTGCAGCGGAATCTCCGTCTGAACAGCATCGCAAGAAGACGTCGTGACAGCAGTCCACGGGAGAAGAAATGTTTCTGTAATTATGATACACATCTTTCTGTACATATCATGAAATGGTTTGGCGCAATGTGCGAAGAACCGTTTGATGCTGTAGCAAAAGTCGTTGTGTGTTTCTGAATATAAGGAAACAAATGGTTTGACACAATGTGTGAAAAATCATTTCCGGCCCGGAAAGCAACATTTCTTGATCCGCAATGAGTTAGGAGCAGCTTCGGTTGTGCAGTGTTCTCACGGTTTGTTTCTCGGAAAAAAATCAGCTGCTTACCACTTGTCACATTACAGGTGCAGAGGTACCAACGAGAATGTCTTGCCTTCGCATTTGCGTATGTGTGCCTTCCCATCTAGTGTGGTTAAACTATGAAGAAAAGATTGGTTGTTTGGGTTCATATAAGTGGAGAACCTTACACAGCAATTCATTGCTTAATATATGCAATATGGTGGAACCAGTAAGATTTCATTGGCTGCCCCACTCATGTTGTAACAAAATCGCACGCATGAAGCCTCTTTGTGTTTGCTACTAGCTCAGGTGCCCATCCAGTGAGCTTCTTGGACGGAGGACAGGCGCGTGTCGCATGGCCCGACAATGAGTCAACGAGTCTATGTCCTCGGGAGCAAGAGCTTTGACCCAATGTGGGAAGAAGCGTATGCAGATGCATCGCGAACCGACACCTATTTGAATGTCTATGATGCCTGTGTGTTTCTGAAATTTGTGGTTGGTTGACATATTTGGCCAGGTACCTTTCCTCTATGTCATCACCGTCGGATTCGTGGATGTAGGAAAGGCGTAGTTGTCACATAGCAAATCTCGTAGCACAGAAGATCATGAAACACCTCGTTCAGCCCATTTCAGGTCCGCAGTGCTGCCGCATGCAGAGCAGCTGATATTGCAGCGCTGGCGAAAAAAATGGTCTGCACTGTCGCGCACACACACACACATCTTCTTTCACGCGCAGCATCTTTCACACGCAACTTTGTCACACACATACACATACATACGTACATACGTACATACCTACATACATACATACATGCATGCATACATACATCCATCCATCCATACATCCATACATACATGCATGCATGCATACATACATACATTAATTACTCTCTTTTCACACACCTTCTTGCTTTGTCACACACACCCTCTTTCACATTTCACTTTGTCACACACAACTGTTTTAACTTCTCGATCCTTCACCACATCCTTTGTCTTTCCTTCCTTCCCCGACCCCGCTACAACCTTTGAAGCTCATTATTGGAAGAAGTTGACTTGTGGGGTTATCCGGTCCTTTAAGTTTTTGAAGGGGGTGCAGTCCCTGATTTTATAGATCAAAAATTAGGGTCGGTGAGGTTCGAGCTAGTGACTTTGGGGGGGTACAGTCCCTGATTATATAATGATACCAAGTATTACCAAATGGTTGCCTGATCATATTGTTTTGCACAAGACCCTAATTGTATACAGGACCCTGTCAGTGTTTGTTTTTAAGTGTTTTTTTTTTCCGCTTTTCTATGATTTTCTTTGAATAAAAATCCAGCAAATTCCATAAGAATCCATAAGATTCCAAAAGAATCCGAAAGATTAAAATAAAATATATTAAGATATTATATATAATTCTATAATATTCTATATATTCATACATCTGTGTAAAACCAAGACCCCCAAGCCTCACAGTGGAAAAATAGGAACAAGGGCTTGATTTTAGGGTGTATTTTAGCATAGTACAAAGATTGAACCCCAAGCCTTGCCTCGAGTCTAGCAAAAAATGGAAATCAATAGAAAATAAGAACCCCCAACACCATATGCACCAAGCTAGCCCTAGTATAAAACGTAGACTTCCAAGCTCGAGTTTGACACCCTGAGAATCCCTGAGACCTGTATACAATCACAACCCTCCCCAGTGGAGCCCAACCACAGAGGGAAACCCCCGCACAAAATGAACCTGTTTTTGGAGCTTAACCCCCTGATTTTGTACAGCTACATCCCAGGGGGATAATTAAATAATAAATAAAAAATAAATGAATGAAAATAAATAAATAAATAATTAATTAAATAATATATAAAGAACAATTATAAATAAAAAAATAAATAAACAAACAAATAAATATATATATATATACGTGTGTGTGTGTGCGTGCGCGCATACTGTATGTTGTTCATCGACGCACCGGTGGACCTCAAGGAACCGCCCAAATCACAGAATATTGAATCTGAAAATCAAATCGCTCCTAATGGTTGAAGACCTTGTCCCTGCAACCTTCACGTCAACTTTCAATCAATACCCCCTTGATGCAGGCCAAAATCCCAACTGCCCGAAGCACGCTGCAAATACAGAATCAGGCAAACTATCATGAACCATCTGCTTTTGCACGTTTCCTAGGTTTGTCAAGACCTCAAAATGCGCGACCCCACGCCAAGAGTGTTCGAAGCCTACCTTATCAAGCTCCCTCACTGACATGAACGCATTTGTCCTTCCAAATGATCAGCATTCTATCTTCCCAGGCTCCATTCTCGAGGCGCCCTGAAAGATTATGTACAAACATGAGGTTCAGTTTCATATTTCAAGCTTTTTCCCAAAGACCGAACAAATTTCAGGATTCATGCCGCCGAAGTCGGTTGATGATGTTTGATGATTGAGCCAGCTTGAGAAAGTAATTAAACCAGCAAAATTATGTGACCAGCGCACGGCCGTAGAGATTGAAGCCAAAAGAGAAGATCGAAGGCCCGGTGCCACCGGTGCCGGATGCAAAAAAAGATATAAAGTGCAAGAGGCCTTGCCGACCGACCCTGACGTAAAGTTGTGTTGGGCTATGGCGGCTACGGCTTCACTATTTTTTTTTCTTTACTCTGAAGATGAATGCCCAGCTTGCACGTTTTACATACCAACGCTGCTGCGCTCATTGAAGAATTGTGCCTAGATCGCGCTTGGCAATGTAATGCGCCATGTGGCGAACATTCAAATTGGCAGCATTTTTGTTTTGTATACTGCAAATATTCCATTTACACATGGCCCAGCTTCATGTGCCCGGCACTTCCCCACTAGTCGAAAGAACCAGTCTAGAAAACCTTGTCAAAAGAAAGCATGTTCATGAC